CCTCCCCGGCGCAGCCCCGCAGCCGAGGGGCTCGCCCCGGCCCGCCCCGGTCCCGCGGTGCCCGCGCCCCGCCGCCGAGGGAGCGGCCTTCGCCCTCCTGCAGCCTTCGCCTCTTCCGGGGCAGAGTGGCGCAGGGGTCTTGCCATAAGCCGTCAAGTACAGGTACAGCGGGGTCCGGCCAAGGGGCTCTGGAGCCGAGCGGCGTAAGCAACGTCTGTAGAGAGAGGCCGTCCTCAGCCGCCCCACAGCAGACATTCCCTCTCCCGCTGAGCGCGGCGCCGTGCGATGGGTTTCTGCCATAAGCATTTCCAACACAGGTAATGGAGGTGAACCGAAGACTGTTACTCGTCAGAAAGAAAGCCTTAATTGCCTACAAGTAAAATGAAATGCTCCCTTTCCCCCACAACTACAGCAAATACTTGTTTTGTTCAACAACAAGAGTAAAGTAACACAAAATTTGAAGTTCCCACGGTGAGGAGAAGCAGTGGCACTGCAAAGCCACGATGGTAAAGAGCATTGGCAACTGCACGGCGTGGTGAGGTGCAGTCATGTTTTCCGTGCTTTTCGTGGCCAGGCCATTCGCCTGGATTCCAGAGGCTCGCAGCAAGTCTTAGGCAGGAAGCAACCTGGTGAATCCTGATGGCTGGCCTTTTTTCCCAGGGAGCATCTGCCATACCTTAACTGTTCCTGACAGATGCCTGTCTAACCTGTTTTAAAACCTCTGGTGATAGATGCTTTCACACTCTTTCCCAGGATATCTCCTGCACTTTGTTATACAAAGGGCTGGAGACAAGAAGCTAGATCTGTACAACATGTAGTTTCAGCCCCATACTATTTCTCCTGTTTATAGAAAACATTGGTAAAAGATCTGATATGTGAGGAGTGTATAAAAAGATGCTGCAAAGCTGGAAACTTCCATGCATCTTAAGTCTTCCCAAGATTAAAAAGCGCTAATTCTTTTGGCCTTTCCTCACAGGCCATTTCATATATTCATTTTTCCTGTTCTCCTCTGAACTTTCTCCAGCTCATTTACATTTTTCTTGAAATCTAGTGTCCACCACTAGGCCCCACATTCATATTGTCGGTGCTAAATCGACTGAGAAGGTTATGTAATGTGCCAGAATTCACCCCTGTTTCTACATGCCCCAAACATTTGTAGGTTTTGTTTTGTTTTGGTTTTTTTTTTTGGCAAGTGTCACGTTGTTGATGCACCTGCAGCTCATGATCTGTTCCACCTCAGAGACTTTTCCATTCACTGCTGCCTAACCAGTCTTTTCCCAACTCTGATTTGTACTGAAGATTCATGTTCTTTCTGAATACATTCTAAACATCTACTCTCTGAGGCAGCAGGAGGTCCTCACCTCTAAGCATCAGCATCAACTCCTTGAGTAGTGCTGATGCAGTTGTTTATAGGCCCACACTATCAGCTGTATCAGTGAAACAACTCAGTCTAACAAAAAACAAAGAGTGGGGGAAGGAAGGACAAAGACGTGTTTTGTGTTCATTTTTAATCCAGATCATTCTGTTGATCTGATTTACAGAGCAACCTTGCAAAATCAGTTTCTTGTGTTTGAGGTCACTGAACATCTCATTAGTCAAGTCTCCTACTACCTTCCTGTCCTTATCTACATACTGGGATAATTTCCAGCTGTGCTCATAATACTGTTGAAGTCCTCTGAGCTACTTTCCTCTTAGGCTCAGTTTTTCTCTTCTGCCACCAATTCTCAAAGTCAAGTCTGTTTTCTTCAAGACCACTGTCTTTGGTCTTTTGTTTTCCTTTCTCCTTTGCAAAAGCTTTGAAAAAAACATTGCAACAATAAGCAATAGATATGTTTTCCCCCAATCTGAAGTTAACAAAAATCGTTATTTCTTCCAACTTTGCATTAACATTTGAAACTGTTCAGTGACAGGAGAATGTAAGGAGCCTACAAGCCTGCAAATTGCAGAGGGATTCTGTGGGGCTGGCTGGGGTCCTCAGCCTGCTCTCTTCATCCCTTTGCTCCAGAAGCTTGCCTCTCTTGCCACTTCTCCCTCTTCCAAATTATCCCCCTTTTCACATCTAATCCCCTGCCACTCCCAGAAAACATGGCAATTTATAAACCTCTGACTCTGACTCAACCATTTGTACAGAATCAGGACTGCATAATCTTCCTCAGGCCATATGTATTTGATAAGACCTGCATTGTGTTGTTAGGCAGTGGCTTGGCAAGCACAAGATATTACGCAGTGCTGAGAACCCTGTCTCCTCTCAGTGACTGAAACTTGACACCAAACTATTTATCAATCCACAGCTCTCAAGATTTCATCTGCTCTTTCAATGTCAGCTATATTTCTTTAAAACATACCTGCTGCAGCAAGATAATTCAAGTAAATTGCAGCTTACACAACCAAGAGATCAGGCTTTCAGAGCTGTAGAAGGACACCTGAAAATCAACTAGAGGGGCATCAAAACACGAGTCAGACCTGGTTTGTTTTTTCCTTACATAAAATACCATTATAGTAGCTCCAACTCATTTTTTCTCAAGAGAGATCTGTGGTTGGCAAGTGGAAGAATTCTGTTTGCAGACATCTCCAGTTTCACCCCAGCTCAGCTGGTTAAAAAAGAACAAAAATCAAAGTTTCTAAGCCAGTTTACATTCTTGACTGTGAAACTAACAAGTAGACAGGTAGGTTTCAAAATAGCAAACATCAAGGCAATGTCAAGGATCTCATTTTAAATGGAAAACTTACAGCAGTCTTGACTCAAGGCAAAGGTTAACCTGTCTCCCTAGTTAGTTTCACCAACACAGGATTGCAAAAATTACTCTGTGGGAAAGTAGTAGGATGATTTACAGTTTTGCCTTGTCCAATAGGAAGACAAGAAATGCCAGATCTTCTACTGCGAAGTGCAGTTCTGTAAAGGAGGTTCCCGCTTTAGAAGCTTTAGAAGCTCACAAAAAAAAAAAAAAAAAAAAAAAAAGATATTGCTGTTTCTCTTAAAATCTTGTTTTTCAGATTTGAAGGTGCTTATTTTTTTTCCATGTATATCTGCATACAGATGCTTAAAGATTTCAGTCATTCATTTAAAGCCTTGTTTAGCCAGACTGCTTCAGTCTAAAACAACTTCAATTGCTAGAGGACCCCGCAGATTTCTTTGGGACAGAGAAGCACACAAGTGTATGTGCACGCCTGCACACACACACGCCATACTTTTTCAAATTCCTTAAACAAAACCAGACATGCCTCCCTTTGCTAGTTTCTCCTGTTCCACCTGGAGCCTCTGGCAGGATCTGAGGAATTTGTGCAAGCATTTATAAGAGCACTTGTATGTCCCCTCATTTTGTAGAGTAGGTGTTCTAATAAAATCCTTCATATCAATATTTATATATTTCTTGGAGACCTATCTTTGTGGTAAATATTTTTATATTCATTTATAACTTTAGTATACTTTTTGTTTATTAGAGTGGAAATGCAGATGTTGTTCTATGACTGCTTTTTAATTAGAATAATAATAAGGTAGCAGAAAGAGTGCAGTATGATATCAATTGCACAATGCTGTATGAGGGCAATTTTTTTTGGTAATTGTCTTGTACCCCAAAGGATGAAATAAAATCGCTGTCTTGCATCATTGCAAATGCTACTACAGAACACAAGAAAATTAGAGCATAAGAGTAGGCAGATGGGTTGGGAAATAAGGTTGATTAACAATGCATGGCTAATTCACTGCAGGGTATGACGAATTATGTGGGTGAATATATATGAAATTAAAAAAAAAAAAAAGAAGGCAGGCATCTATGTACCTGCTACAGGTACTCCGTACTGTAAGACCGTGAGAACAAATGTTTCTGGAACAAAGCCCACAGTTCTTAGTGCTATGGTGTATCTTATCGTTGATTTATACAGAATATTACTTTATAAACAAGAGGCAATAGGCTCCACACCATACAGAACTTAAGAATTTGTAATAAACCAAACCATTTAGACTGGGACAAGAAAGAGGAGCTTGAAATTATAAACTGCAGAGAATCCAACAGAGTTGCTTGTAACGTGGCAGTTTAGTAATGCTTTGTTTATTTTATTTTAAAATTAAAATATCACCCAACCTTTAAAAAAAAAAATTAAATCATGAATCATAGAATCATTTCAGTCAGAAAAGACCCTTAAGATCGTCAACTCCAACCATAAATCTAACACTGCCAAGTCCACCACTAAACCATGTCCCTAAGCACCATATCTACATGTCTTTTAAACGCCTCCAGGGATGGTGACTCAGCCACGTCCCTGGGCAGCCTGTTCCAATGCTTGACAACCTTTTTGGGAAAGAAATTTTTCCTAATATTAAATCTAAACCTCCCCTGGCACAATTTGAGGCCATTTCCCCTCGTCCTATCCCTTGTTACTTGGGAGAACAGGCCAATGCCCATCTTGCTACAACCTCCTGTCAGGTAGCTGTAGAGAGTGAAAAGGTCTCCCCTCAGCCTCCTTTTCTCCAGACTAAACAATCCCAGTTCCCTCAGCTGCTCCTCATAAGACTTGTTCTCCAGACCCTTCACCAGCTTTGCTGCCCTTCTTTGGACACGCTCCATCACCTCAATGTCTTTCCTGTAGTGAAGGGCCCAAAACTGAACACAGTAATCGAGGTGCAGCCTCACCAATGCTGAGTACAGGGGGACAATCACTACCCTAGTCCTTCTGGCCACACTATTT